AATGAAAAAACCATGATTCACTCGATTTAAGCAACTTGACCGATAAAAAATGATCAACTCTGTTTTTTCAATGTAATTTCAAGATTTTTTAAGACACTCCAATCATTCTGGGATCCGAGAGACATACGACAGTCTTAATTACTATCACACCAATTACAGTGAAAACATGTCGATATTGGCCCAAACTGGCCTATCTAGTATGGAAATAAATGTAGATGATTTACCTGGATAAGGTACTTGTCCGTAAGTAAAAAGTTCCATGAGGAGAATTCCGTAAGACCAGACATCACTTTTAATGGTGAATTTGCCGTAAACTATGGCCTCGGGGGCAGTCCATTTAACGGGGAATCGACTTCCCTGCTTGGGGCAGTACTCGTCGTCTTCAATGACCCTTGCCAGGCCAAAATCGCAAATTTTTGCTTTATTTTTCTCTCCTATGAGTACATTTCTGGCAGCAAGATCTCGATGAATGAGTTGCTTACTCTCCAAATGTTCCATGCCCGAGGCAACTTGAGCAGCGATGTAAATTAAATCTTCAAACTGCATGTACTTCCCATCACCTGTCCTCAGAAAATCTAATAAACTCCCATTGCACATGTATTCTTGGACAATGTAAATTGGTTCTTCCTTTGAGCATACGGCGTACAATGCAACGAGATGTCGATGTCTGAATTGCTTCATAATCGCTGCCTCTTGCAGGAATGCCTCCGTTGACATTGTCCCTGGTCTCAGTGTCTTCACAGCCACTTCAATTTTATTCCGCCATTTTCCATAATATACTTCACCGAAGTTACCATGACCGAGTTTTCTAATTAACTGAATTTCACTTCGATTTATTTCCCACTTGTCTCTCAACTCTGGGCCGAGATCCCACATATCTGGCTGAGGCTTTGGACAGGGTTTCGATAGTACGTGGCATAGACCGAGAGCATTTTCTGTAATCAAATTCTCATTTTTACGATCTCATTAACGTACATCTAGTTTTATGTCAGATCAGCATATGATATGATATATCATTGAAAACTGCTAAAAAAATCAGAAAACTCTATTACATTCGGAATTCTTGTTCTTTACAAAAATTAAATCAAATGAAAGATTGTTGATGAAATTTGTTTGATTTTTGAGGGTTTTAAGACAGAATATTGCTATCAGACTTCATTCTGGTTTGAATTCATGTCGAATTCTTTTTTTGAAGTTACATACTTGTGGGAAAAATATTTAGGTTACTCCATATTCATGTTTAACGGAAAAATGGTAATGAAAAATATACTAACTGCTGTAGGCCATAACGAGAGCTGGCAGGGTTGGGAAGGTTTGATTAGTAGCGATGAAGAAACCGCCATTGTCCAGTGGTTTTATTTTGTAGTGTTTCACATGATGTCCCCTTCCTTCTTCCCAGTCCTTGACGGAAAGGCTATAGCCCCGAGGATTGTGCTCACTCGGCCTCACTAGGAACGTTCCCCGAGGATTTTCATCGACGAGAAGTAATTTTCCAGCCTCCTTCCGCGAAACATTCTCAAAGAACCAGCTTTGCAGGAATAAGGAAACGAAAAGCTCAATTACACATTCGATATAGGCCAATAAACCAAATGGGTAGAAAAATTTCTCTCTCTAAAACTGTCCACAAATATTGGAAAAATCTTCCGAGGATTAGGTGAATCGAAAATTGATAGGATGACAGTATCTTATATTGAGAAACGAAACCGTTTGTCAAGAAATTTTGCACTTGTTCTAAACATAGAGCACAATCTGTTGATAACAATGCGAATTCTTCAATCAGGTCAAGAATTTTTTTGG